GTTACTAGAAGCGATGCACTTGTTCCTAGTAGCTTAGTGATTCTAATCCAAGAGAAAGACATACAGCAAGCTCTTCCCGGTGGCGCCCGCCAAAAGCCAGAGAAGGCCCGCCATGCGAGGGGGGGGCTATGTTGACACGCACGTGGCAGTTGAGATACTGGAGACCGATCATGATGATCACTTTGGCAATTCCAAAGGGGTGGTCGACACTTAGACTGGAGATATGTATAGTGTATACCGAATGAACCCATTTGGACCTCTATTTTCACATATAAATACCATATCTTGGGTGCTTGGTGCTCTCAACTAGAGGTCTCTCCAGGTTTGGAACCCTGGCGATCTCAACATTTTGTGGAAGAACTCAAGACTAAACATGGATAAAACAAATATAGTATATTTAATTCCTAAGACTCCACATTGAGTCCTGCACTGGACTTTAGAACGAGGCCTCCTCATCACATGTGACCAGATGTCCTACCACCCAGCCAGCAGTCTCTCGGCTCTCGCTACACAGCCGAGGACTCACATGTCCGGCTGCACACGTTGTTCGGGGATCAGACCGTTGATGATCTGATGGGCTTGGAGTCCAAGAGCGACGAGTCTTTTGCAGCACATGACCACTGTCTCTGGAGATTGTTTGGCAACTTGCTCCCCACAAAAGACTGCATGGGAGAGGACCACTGGGACCACACTCTCCAACATCCGCATCCATCTAAAAAGGTGCATTCTGAATGACCAAAAGACTTGAACGGACCCCTGTCCCCCCATGTCCATTGATATAAGACCCTCCAACCTATCTCCACTGTCAGGTCTACCGCTTCTCAACAGCCTTCGATCGTCGACGTCACCGGCGTTCTGCCGACCTCTTTGGCACGGCGTCGGCGTGCTCTTGAACGGCTGACCTTGGTGGGGATGGGGCGACCCACCAAGCTGCCGCAAAAAGGTAGAGGATAATACTCTAAATTTTAAATGAATATGTGTTTCTTGTTTTTCAGACTTTATTGATCAAATTTTATAAATACATCAAACCCTTCTATTACTGCAACAAATCATGAATTCCATCTGCACCATCTTCCATGTTTGTCACCAACAAAAAACAGCAAATGTGTGTCTAAATGTGTTTAACATTGTTTAACAATGTTTAACATCAATCCAGCTGGACCCACTCTCCTCTTTTGGAGGTCCAAAGTGACGAGGCTAGAGGATTGGAGGACCTCCAAATGGGATTTCACACCCAACTAACCATATTAGTGAGTGGAGTCTGAAATTTCCATCAAGATTCATAGCCCTGGCCTCTCAGACCCCGGCTGCCCGCGTCTTCCGCGTGCTCGTCCGCGCGCTCGTCCGTGTGCTCGTCCGTGTGCTCGTCCGTGTGCTTGTCCGTGTGGTCCGCGTGGTGCGGGGCGCCACCCGGGCGGTCCGCAGCCGCTCTCGAGGTGGCGAGGGGCGGCGGACTGGGCGGATCAAGCGGCGGTTCGGACATTGAGTTGTGGCTTGGATTGGGAGGGTTCCAGGCCCAGAAAGGCCTTGCCAATTCCAATACAAGTCGATACGACCCAATGGATCCAACACACAACCCAATGAAACAGCATTCATCCAAATTCATTGGTCCATTTGGCAACAACATAGCCAGTACACCAGAACCTGACGGCAAAGTACTAGTTATATGTCTGCAAGACATTGTTCAACAAATCAGTGGAGTGGTGCAACCCCCCCTAGCAGGTGAGCAGTCTTCTGAAACCGATTGATTTTTCCAAAGCATGTCAACCATTCTTGCGAAGCCTCTTTCGTTCCTTTCTCAAAAACTGTTTTTTGAAACACCAGCAGCCCACTTGAAGCGCACATTTTGGCATGTTGAATCATCACAATTTGACAGCGAGTCCCGTCCTTTCAACAACCCGATGTTCGCAAGTTGAACTCCCTCATCCGAGACGAAAACATTGAGTTAACACTTCATGATTCTGACCCCAACAATCATCCTAGCAAGACCTGCTTTCTTTTCCAACAAGCCATACGAAACAAGGTGTGTGTTATTTTTATTGTATAAAGTGAGCCCCAACATAGATAATGAGACTATACCGTTTCCAATGCATTGTGTGCGGATCTATAACTGTTCCATTTTTTCCATGTTTTTTCTGTCATGCCCCTCGAACCGACGCGGGTGAGGTCTCCAGGCCTGGCTGGCGGAGCTGGATGGACGACAACCTGATCAGCGGGCACCGACCCGGGGTGAACACCCGAGGTTCGTGGGTTCCCGGTCGGTGGGGTGTGGAAGCAAAAAAGGGTATACCTGCATCTTCACTGGACCAACAAAAAAGGTACTTGCTTTTTGGTGAAGATTTCCGCGTGCTCAAAAGAAATCTGCGAATCTGCGCAGCAAAATTGTGCAAAATTTGCATGGCCGTGTCTGGAACCACACAAGAAGGCCCTGGTTGTCACTTACGCCGGAGCCTGCGCTTCCAGCTCAACTTCCAGATCTCCGATTTCATTTTGATACAGCTCCGGTCTAGCACTCGGTGGCTTGCAGTTCTTGAACTCACTCTCTGACATATCCTGCTACATGTCCACCCACAGGTTCATAAGCTTTGTAACTGTAGGCTAGTGACGGGGAAAGATGTGTATTGGACGTGCAAAGACGCGTATTTGACTGGAATTTCCAGGTTGAACAAATTTGTCACGTGGGGCTTTTCTTCAACAAAATGAAGCCCCGCCGGTTTGACAAGCATACAAGCTCTAAATCGCTTGAGGGAGGAGCGGACGCTATTCCTCTGGGATGGACACACCCTTCGACCCACAAAGGTATCGCACTACTTCTGACATAGCTGCATGTTCTCATTTGTCACTGTATGACAGGCTTTGGAAGTGGGAAAATGGCAACCAAATAGAGCCAACATGGCTACAATCAAAAAAACGTGCATTTCAAATGACATTGGTGTTTTTTTCCTGAAAGACGTGTAGTGCACAGGAATTCTGAATGCACCATTTTGGCATTTTTTAGACATTGGAGATCATTGGAGTGCAACTCGAAAAGAAACATTGGGTCATTGACACTTCATGATCTTATGCAGTGGGAGGGGGCATCATTCTCCCATTCCTTACTAATATTCACCAGGAAGGGATCTAATAGTTCTACCTACCGGCCAGCTGTTTTTCTAGGTGCAAATCCCTTCCCTCGGATGAGCAATTGGAGACCTTCAACGACAGCACCCCGCAAAAGGCGGATTCCGACCCCCACGGGATGGCAGTCTTTGACATGCTTTTTTTGTTTGTCCTGCTACTGCATGAAAGACCTCCTCCCAATTGTGGAGCGCCAGTGAATACTGCTGTCACCGTCAAGAATGAGAAGAATCTCGGATAGTGCCCTCTTTTCCTAGCAGTAGGTGTCTGCTGTTGGGCTCTTCACAACTGTGTTAACACCAAGTATGCCTTCCACATCCGCTGATCATCTGATAACATCCAGATCCACATCTTGTCTACATCCACCTCCGATCTTGTCAAGATTTCTACCCATTTTTCGAACCGAGCTGCGGCATGTCCAACCGGGAGGAGCTTCCATGGCCTCCGAAGAAAATCACTAAATGAGGAGTGGAGAGAGGTGGGTTCCTCCGATTTCATCAAATCTGAAAAGTTCCTCATGTTTGGCGCTGCCTGCAAATGCCTGCAAGCTACCAGAAGAATCATTGGGTACTTCATTGGGTTCATAGTATTACAAAATCATGGAAACCGGACTCAGATATAGCCCGGATCCAAAGCCTCTAACTGAGACACACAGCAAGGTGGCTGGGTTACGTAATGCGTCCCAGTACCCTCATTCTATCCTATACCAGGAACAGTGGATGATGACTAGATTGCAGGCCGACATCTCTCAAATCGTGTAATAGTGTCTGGTTTACCGACTGTTGCCGGTCAGTTCGGACCGTTCACCAACTACCACGCTTTGAGGCTTGGACGACTGGCGACGAAGCGAACGCGGCGACTCGGCAGGGCGACGCAGCTCGTCTTTCCCACGCAGCGCATGGCCAGGATCCCCATCAGCACGGCCCCCACGAGCACGGTCGGCACGGTCAGCACTCGGCCCGTTCGCTGGACCGTAGACGCCTGGGGAGGGTGGCGGCGGCCGTCGAGCAGGATTCCGTGCTTTTGCCGGTGCATTCTGGACGAATAGATCCATCACTTGCACGTATTACGTCGTAGATTTCTTCACCATCTTCACCACTTAGACTCCTCTGTGGGAAACAACTTACCGGGCTGTAGATACGCACATCCTGCAAAAAGTCTAGGATCTAGATAGACACATCTCCAAAGAAAACGAGCTGTCGTCCCAACCGTCGCCATGTAGCTGCACTTGATCCCTGAAACGCATAGATTCTCGTCCAAGACCAGTTGCATGCTTGTTCTACGACCATTCACAGAAACCGGAAATCTATATATTAGGTACACCCCCAAGTTCCACAGCTTGCGCCAGCACGCCTGATCAAAAGTACTCCATATGTTACTATCAATAATTACTGTATATGCCAGAATAATACATCCATATACATACATGCATGCGTGGCTTTCCTTTCGAGGAAAAAACAATGGCAACAACGGTCTTCACTTCAAGACCCACACTCACCCCGGTGTCCAACTCCGACTCCGGCTCCGTTCGCCTCCGTGGAAGAGACGAGCTCCACCCAGGGTGGTCGAATTTGAGACACCGCCTTCCAGTAGAGCAGCCGCCGTACCAAGCGCTCGGTACTCGTGACTAGTTCATCCACGAGGTGCGCGGTGCTTTTGTGTGACCTGGGACCCAAATGGAGAATGGGAATCAAATGGAGCCGGGCCCTTTGGGTTTGGGGCAAAGATGAGTTCTTAGATGAGTCTAGATGGGATATGATGAGGTATGAGATCACCCAAGACAGTTGAGTGCAACACATGACGTGGTTCCAACAAACGCGTGCACGACACGGTGAAGCCTTTCTTCACAGATCTAAAACGTCTAAAACCTCAGAAAAAAAAACGGATCATATATGGAAGGGTATGGCATCTTCCAGGAATAGAGCATGGCAAATCGTCATGCCATAGTTCCTGTCCTATCCTTCCTAGGGCTCCAATAACATGCTTTCCAAGGTGGCTGGTGTGGCTTTGGGAAGTCTAAGGAAGCCGTTGGAGCGTGGGAGCCCAACAGGGCATACTAAGATGACAGGACAACTGGACATGACAACTGCAACGATTCGCTCGGGCCACCAAAAATGGTTGGCAAACAAGAAGCATTGCAGTCTTGAGTCTTTCTCTGGCCTCTGGTTAGATCCCTGGCAGCAGTTTGATTCCCCAATCAGTTCCAAGTAACTTTGGGCAGTAGAGCTGTTGCTCCAGCTCATGGCCGCGACACACATCGCTACTTTGTGCGGTGAGCAAGAACTCAGAGACACACTGCTGTAGATCACCTGCTGCAGTGCCAAATGCCAATAGAAAACTTGCATCATGAAACCTATACATGGACCATGTTCCTACAATAGGGGGAAGTCGTGGAAGTCGCAAACATAATTTGAAATGCCAAACAAGCATAGTGGAAATCAGCAACAGTCTGCAGGGACAGTGACGAGGTGGGAACAAACACAAAAGGCATCTTTTGGTGTCCAAGAAGGCTCCTTCCCTTCCTCGATGAATCTGCATGAATTTGAAGCACTTGCTTGCACCCCTTAAACTTGCATTTCTGCGAGTTACGGCCATCTTTTCACTGTCGTTATGCATCGGGCAAAAGATCAGGCCATTTGTATATATAGATCGAGGTATAAATTAATGAACAAAAACACCTGTGGTCCTGCAGTCTGCCAAGCTAAGACATCTTGTGATCCATGTTCACTCCACGGGCGTGCTCATTGAGCATCCCTTCAATTTCAATCTATAAAGGCAATGGCAAGAGTCCATCCAATTCGCCATCCTGAACTAACGAATGCCATCTGAACAAACATCAGTCGAGTCTTTTTCCTTTGCATACCTTTTCTGTCCGCCCCTTCCGTTGCTTGTTTCTGATTTACACCGTTCAAGTGCCTCATCTCGTCGTTTGCCCCCTCATCTCGTTCGCCCCCTCGTCTGGTGCTTCGCTGCAGTTGGTCAAAGCATCGGCCTATGAGGTAGAAGTCCAAGGAGGCACGCGACGTCGCGTGTTGGAGCAGCGCCTCCGTGAAGGGATCCTGCGGACGCGATGATCGGTCTTCGACCGGTGATCTGCAGCCCACCATGCAACAGCCCACCATGCAACGAAACCTAGACTTGATCTAGTAATTTGTGTGGACCAGCTTCGAAAATATCTTTGAACACACTCAAGCTATAGGGTGCACAATGCCAAGGCCATCAAACACCACAAAGGTTATCCACCCCTAGCCAAGATTTGGTGACAGGATTCTATATACGATATATATAATACTGAGATTGTTAAGTATTGGTTCAGTTTCTCGTTGGATTGTTTTTGGTGTGTTGCAGTCTTCGCCCTTCATTGTCTTTACCCATCACTCACTACGATTTGATCAAGAAATCGCAAGCCGTGCCATTAGAAATACACAGCAAATTCAGACCCGAGACCATTTTCACACTATATATAACACATATATATGTATACCCTAGCGCTCAAACCATATTAGAGGGTGGTTGGGGTGGGTACCAGGGGGGTCTAACATGGTCTAGCTATACCTGAGGAGAAGGTATAGAAGGAGCCCTGTATATTTACATACATTCATAGATTCTTTTCACAAATCATAGACAAATGGAACAACACCACCTGGACATCTCCGCGTCGCGTAAAACACTCATCGACGTCACGTCTGCACCTGACAGCGGAGGATCTGTCGAGTCCACGGGAGGTACTGGTCCCACTGGTCAGCCAAGTCCTGCGGTGCTGAAGACACAGTGATCAGCTGAGTCACTCTGGATTTGGTGGGTCACCACTAGACGAAGATACTCCAAAAAAACAATGAAAAAACACAAAGGTGATGGGTGATGACAAGTGTATATAGTTCCAGGGTGAATATCTGGGGTACCCCTCCAAAACAAGGCCTCCTCCAGATCATAGGAGTCACAAGAGTATAAGGCAACATCTTCGAATATTAAAGCCTGTTAATAAATAATTTCAAACAGGTCGTCAGCGTCCTTTTTCCTTGGCTTTCAACTTTTGCTTTCCCCGGTTATTTTTTTTTTCGGCTGAACCACTTGCACCGTGGATTGAGATCTTGAACCACTGAATAAACCACTCTTGCAGGACTTGTGCCTTCAGAACCCCGAAAACTACCAGCTACAGTCCTCCGCCGCCAACGCTGCGCGCAGCGGCGCCAGTGCCCCTCGCACAAAAGGCCAACGGAAGCGCTGCAACGGCTGAGTCACGTCGTGCTGGACTTCGCCTGGCCACGAAGAAGAGGGGGTCCGCGTCTTGACAGATGAGCACCTGTTTCTCAGCTAATTGGATCCTGGATTTTTTCCCAACCAAACAACAAACAGCAGAAGCAACAAGCAGCAGTTGCAGCTCTTCCAACCAACATTTGGCTGAGAATCTGTTCGACGTCCACCACCACGAGTGCCAGGTAGTCCTCACTACCACAAGGAATGCTCAAAACGCTGCAGAAAAGCAATCAGCATTGTCTGTGATATGAACATAAGCTGCTGTAACTGCTGTGGCATCATTACAACAAGCAGCAGGGCCACCACATGCCGCGGAGCGAAGTCAGTACAGTGCCGCTTCATTTGTGCCAAAACATGCTGTTGCACATGGAACAACACTTTGCACTTGCGGGGATATATACCCAAACATCTGGAATCTGAGCAACTAATAGTTGAGACGGTATGCCAAACGATATAAGACTCTCTCCATCAACACAATGGCTACAACGTATAGGATGCGCTATGGGAAACTTCACCGGGACGAACGAATCAACCACCTGCACCTGCCGTCAAAATGGGTGGAACATAGACGCCTCGAGGGTCCAGAATACTTGAGGCCTCTGGGCACTTCCCACATAATCCGTCCAGCGCGCACCACATCTGTCGGGCACACTGTTAGTGGATAATGCACCTCTACATTCCCTCCCTATAGGGATCCAAGTACCTTCTCAGAAAGTGATTGGAGACAGTTACGTAGGTTTGGAGGGTCCAAGTACCTCCTCAGAAGGTAATTGGACGCTCCCACCCCAAACACCTTCTCAGAAGGTGCTTGGAGCCTTTGGGATTGGGAAGACATATTGTTCCTCTACAACCTTGCTGTGTTCGTAGACCCCGTGTGGATTCTCCAACCACCCACGACCCCCCACAGACCATCCAGGACCGGTCGCCCACGGACTGAGTTGCGATCCCAGCGTCGGTGAGGTCTCCGAAAAGATCTCTCGGCCGGAGTCCTCGACACGTCCAACGGTCCGGGGAAAACCGTCAGGTGTAACGAGTGGACAACGTGTAAAGTCTGCCTTTTCCGCGATGTGCGAAACAAACGAAAGTGCGGGAACACCATATCGCGTTCTAGAGAGAGTAACCCACCTCATACATCATGCATAGATTCTAAAGGTGCTTC